CTTTATAGGTTTCTCAACTTAAAATTTGTACCCACAAGAATACCTTCAAAGATAAAAGTATTTACAAAGAGTAGAATCTACTTACATATTATACTTACACAAAATCTCATTTTTAATAGTTAAGATTGATTTACATTTATTAAAAATAATTATTTTTTTATATAAAAAATTGTGATAAATCTCAACTATTGAAAGTAAAAAAATAAATTATGTATATAGGTTTTCTATAAATGTAATGTATAAGATTTATATGTAAATAATTTTCTCTATATTTACAAAATTAATACAAAGTTATCTTATTTTTAAAGAGACAAAAGAAAAGAAGAGAGAGAAAGGAAGAGGGTAGAGCTGACTCTACCCTCCTTATACTACTTAAGATGATGTCTCTTAATTATGCAATGTTTCAACTACTCATTATCAATAAAATAATTGTCATTTTTTGTGAAAAGGGGAGACCAAGGATATGTTTGGTTTGGTTTGAAGGGAGGGAGAATTTTTTGACAAACTATATTGTAATATTTGATTTAAAAATATTATAATTTGATTGGTTAAATTCATCTTTCCTCTTTTTTCTCTATTTTCCTCAAACTAAATATACTATAAATTCATTTAAAAAAAATTATTATTTTGAAACAAATAAACAATTTAACCATTAGACCTCTAAATCTCAAATGTGACTTTGTTTTTGGCCACACAATGATTTGTTGGGGCCACACAAACTTTCTTATAAAAATTATTTTGCCTTTTAAATTGAGTTAATAAAATAGTAATTTGATAAAGTAGGGTAAAGTTTTTGTGTAGCCCCAACAAATAATTGTATGGCCTTAACCGAAGCTCTCAAATGTATAGCATACACACTAAACTATACGCACAGTTAAATGTACCAAATAAAAAAAAAAATTTATTTAGTGATTGATGATATGTGTATGTATGTAGGTATCAGAGGCGCCGGCTTATTCATGGCTCGCAACATGACATTTGAAAATACAGCTGGGCCTGCTAGAAAACAAGCTGTTGCACTCCGTGCTGCCTCCGATTTCTCTGTTTTCTACAATTGTAGCTTCAAAGGTTATCAAGACACCTTGTATGTCTACTCCCAACGCCAGTTTTATCGAAACTGTGACATATATGGGACAATAGACTTCATATTCGGTGATGCCTCGGTTGTTTTCCAAGACTGCAACATCTACGTGCGCAGACCCTTGATTAACCAGGACAATACCATCACAGCACAAGGAAGAACTGAGCAAAATCAAACTACAGGGATAGTCATCCATTCCTCCCGTATTATGGCTGCACCTGATTTGAAACCTGTGCAGGAATTATTCAAGACTTACTTAGGTCGCCCGTGGAAGATTTATTCAAGGACTGTTATCATGAAGAGTGAATTAGATGATTTGGTTGATCCTCAAGGTTGGAAGAAGTGGAATGGAACCTTTGGTTTAAGCACTCTGTACTATGGAGAGTATATGAATACTGGCGTTGGTGCAAATACTAGCAACAGAGTGAAGTGGCCTGGATATCATGTTATAAGCAGTGTTGCAGAGGCCACAAATTTCACAGTTGAAAACTTTTTGCATGGACGTTCTTGGCTTCCGGCCACCCAGGTACCCTTTAAAATTGACTTATGAAT